TCTTTTTACTATGACACAGTGTCTAAGTTACCCAGGCTAGCCTCACACTTACCATCCTCCTGCCTCAGCCTCCAAAGTCATTGGACGTACACACAAGTCTCACCACTCCTGACTCCAGACTTCACCATTCCACGTTCAAGAACAGGGCATCCTGGTGGGACTGAACTGTGGAGTCCCTAACTTCACCTAGAGGAGGTGTGACAATCCCAAGACCCCATGTCTCCAACCTCTGGGAAAACCAGCACCTTTCATCAGGGGTTCAAGAGCAATCCACAGGAGCTGCTAAGACCAATCCCCGCTGAACAACTCAGTTCTTCACAGGGCTCCTAGGCTAAATACCTCCACAAGCTAAGACTACCCCACAGAAGCCTGACGCAGCAGCAGCATGTGAAACACTGAGTGCAGTCGGCCCAGGTGATGAAGCCACACACCACGAGTGGGCCAGAAATGGAAAAGCATTCTGAATATGAAGATATGACCACATGGGCTGGGGTTGTGGCTCAGTGGTAAGAGAGCTTGCCTAGCATGTGCAAGGCCCTGGGTTCAATCCTCAGCACCACATAAAAATAAATAAACAAAATAAAGGTATTGGGTCTAACTACAACTAAAAAATAAATATTTTTTAAAAAAGATATGACCACACAGTGGCCAACGGAACCTCCCATCCCGTGGCCATCTGACCCTAAGGGAGGACACCCAGTGTACTGAGGGCTGTGCTATTCCTGTGCTCTCAGGCCACATCAGTGAAGCCACCAGAGGCTGCCTGCTTTGCAGACCTGAGCCTGTGGTCTCACTTCCATCACCACATTAACTGGCTGTGACAGTGATTCCCTCACACCAGGGCTGGACTTGTCTTAGGGAGCTAAAGGAAGACAACTAATGGTCTGACCCCTCCAGGGCACTGTGCTCACTGGACACCCACTTGACCAAAGGACTCACAGGCCACAACACCTCTTCTGATTCTGACAACCCTCTTTTCCCAGATGGAAGACACTAAACTTGGAAGTCACCCACATGCCCAAAGTTATTCAGCATCCTCTTGTCTCAGACCAGAAACTAAAACTGTTGTTCTCCAAATAAAAGACTACGGTCCTAAAGCACTAGTGCAGTGGCAGTCACCTCCCTTTCACTGCCGAGCTCGTTAGTGGGACCTGTCTTAAAAGCTCACCAACAATTCAGTGCAGCAGCTCTGGGCTCTGCTGTAGTTACCTCAGATAAAGTATGCTGTTTTCAGAAACTCTCCAGGAGAAGGGGCCAGCCAGGACCAGGACCAGGGAGAAGCAGCAACGGCAAACCTGGTGATCTGAAGCTCCTTCACTCTGGTGCAGCAACTGTCTAAGTGAGCAGAGCCAGAAGGCCCCTCCCTGCAAGGCCCAAGAGGACCCTAGAAAGGCAATCCCTCCACAATCCCCAACACTCCTCCTCAGGTCTCATCTCCATGAACACACTCCCCTTTTAGATCTGAAGCCAACCAGAAATGGGATGGCATCATCCAGGTAATCTGGTGGTGAACAGGGAGTGACTAAAAACACATCTGTGACCCTCATCAGACTGGAAGGGGATATTCAGTAAGAGTTTTCCTAAATAAATAACACTAATTATCCAGCACTTAATGTACTTTTCATCAAAGAACTATTTTCCTGGCTGAAATAGACAAGAAGTTGAAGACAGTGTTAACTTTTTGCTCTTGGCCTTATTTTAAGACAGGCTCTAAGCATTACACACAAGAAAATAGACCATGAGACCCAACAGGAAACATGCTGGAATGCACAAGTCACATACTCAGGGAGAACTAGGATATAGAAGACACATACAGCAGACAGTAAGAGGGCGAAGACTACACATGTTAGATAAGGGATGTCCCACCCAAAAGCCCTTGCCTGCACAGACCTATCAGCACACAGTCCTAAGACATCTCTGATTCTCCTTCAAATTCACATCTGAAAATGGAGAGCAAGACAGACTCAACTGCACCTAGACTAAATACAGGCAGAACAAGACACCTACACAGCACGGTGGCACACGCCTGCAATCCACGTTACTCAAGAGGTTGAGGCAGGAAGATGGCAAGTTTGAGGCCAGCCTGGACAACTTAGTATGACCCTGCTTCAAAATAAAAAGAATTGGGGATGTAGCTCAATGGCAGAACACTTACCTAGCATATATTAGGCCCTGAGTTCCATCCCTAGTACAGAAAGGAAGAAAGAAAGAAGACAGGCAGGTAGGCATGGACTATAAGGTCTGGTGGAGGTAGCCAAAGCAAATTCAAGCCAAAAAAGCAAAGCTAGAGGCATCACAACACCTGACATCAAATTATACTACAGAGCTACTGAAACAAAAACTGCATGGTTCTGGCATAAAAACAGACATGTAGAGGAGAGGTACAGAAGAGAAGATACAGACAAACCCACAGATAGTCATCTGATCCTTGATAAAGGTGCCAAAGACATACACTGGAGAAAAGATAGTCTTTATAACCAGTGGTGCTGGGAAAACTGGTTATCCATATGTAGAAGAATGAAACTGAGTCCTTTTCACTCACCACGCACAAAACCAACCCAAAATGTATCAAAGACCTTGGAACTAGACCAGAAACTATGCAAGTCTTACAAGAAAATGTAGGGTCAACACTCCCAACACACAAGTATAATAACTTTCTTAATAAGACCCCTAAAGCTCAGGAAATAATGCCAGGAGTTAATAAATGGAATGGCATCAAATTAAAAAGCTTCTGCACAGCAAAGAAAATAATTAGGAATATTAACAGAGAACATACAGATTGGATAAAATCTTTGCTTATTACTGTTCTGACAGAAGACTAACATCTAGAATATATGAAAACTCAAAAATTTATATAAAAAATCAAATAATCCAATTAATAAATAGGGAAATGAATTAAATGGACATTTCTCAAAAGAAATATAAATGGCAAAAAAAATACATGAAAAAATGTTCAACATCATTAGTAATTAGGGAAATGCAAATCAAAACTACCCTGAGATTTCATCTCACATGAGGCAGAATGGCAGCCGTCAAGAATACAAATAATAAGGGGCTGGGGATGTAGCTCAGTTGGCAGAGTGCTTGCACAAGGCCCTGGGTTCAATCCCCAGCGCCACAAAAAAAAAAAAAGAATACAAATAATAAGCCAGGCATGGTAGCACATGCCTGTAATCCCAGCGACTCAGGAGGCTGAGGTAGGAAGACTGTGAGTTCAAAGACAGCTTCAGCAACTTAGTGAGGCACTGAGCAACTCAGCTAGACCTTGCCTCAAAATAAAATATAAAAAGGGGCTGGGGAGGACTGAGGTTATGGCTCAGCGGTAGAGTGCTCACCTAACATGTGTGAGCACCGGGTTTGATCCTCAGCACCACATATAAATAAATAAAATAGAGGTATTGTGTCCATCTAACAACTAAAAATAAAATTTTTTTAAAGGGGCTGAGGATGTGGCCCAGTGGTTAAGCACTCCTGGGATTCAATCCCCAGTACCAAAAAAAAAAAACAAATATTAAGCAAAAAAAAAAAAAATACAAACAATAATAAATGCTGGAGAAGATGTGGAGAAAAAGGGACACTTTTACACCATTGGTGAGATTGTAAACTAGTACAACTACTATTAAATCAATATGGAGGTTCCTCAAAAGAGTAGGCATGGAACCATAATATGACCCACTCCTCAGTATTTACCCTGAAGAATTAAAGTCATCTTACTACAGTGAAACATGCATACCCATGTTTGTAGCAGAACAATTCACAATAGCCAAAATATGGAACCAGCCTAGGTATCTATCACTGGCTGAATAAATAAAGAAAATGTAGCATATACACAGTGGAATTTTATTCAGCCATAAAGAAAAACAAAATTATGCCATTTGCGGGAAAATGTTTAGGACTAGAGACCATTATGTTAAGCAAAAGAAGTCAAACTCAGAAGGTCAAGGGTCCTATGCTTTCTCTCACATAGAAACTAGAAAGAAAAAAGAAAAAGAAGTTGGGGGCAGATCTCATGAAAATCAAAAGCACATCAGCAGAGGAAAGGGACCAAGGGGAAGGGGGCAAGTACTCGGAGTGAAATTGGCCAAATTATATTGTTATATGGTATGCATGTTCAAAAATGTAACAAGTCTCATCACGATGTACAACAATAATGCATCAATAAAAAAGTATGCAGTGAAGCACTAAGCAACTCAGAGAGACCCTGTCTCTAAATAAAATACAAAACAAGGCTGGGGATGTGACTCAGTTGTTAAGTGCTCCCGAGTTCAATCCCTGGTACAAAAAAAAAAAAAAAAAAAAAATGTGGTGGTAGGAGAAGCCTTGGTAGAGGGAGCAAGAGTGCTCCTTTCATGAATTCCCAGTGATGAGCATCATATAAGCTGCCAACAAAGGCCACCTTCCAGGAGCCTGAGGCACAGCCTGATCCACGCAGGAAGGAGCGCCATAACTGCAAACTCGGGTAGACCACGCAGTCAGCTCAGACTTACACCAAGCTACATCCTACCCACAGGCACTCCTCACCCTAGCACAGCACAGTCCTTCCCACAGGCACCCCATCCAGCCTCCAGAGCCCCCGAGGGGGTCTGGAACACAGTGTCCTCATCTGGAAGATGAAGAGTATCTGGAGGACAGACTGGCCAGCTTATGTGCTGGAGGAAACCAAGAGCAGAGGCAATCCAGCTAGGAAAAAGCTTGGCAAATATCAGCAGCTCCTTACTCTCAGCATAAACCTTAGCCAAAAAAGATAAAAATAAAACTACACTAAACATCCTGGGCCAAGGAGCAGAGTACCAGGAGTCAAGAAAGCACAGCTCCACCTTGGGATGAAAACCACAGGGATACCTCTTGTAGAGGACAGACCATGGGGACACCTCCTATAGGGCACAGGGACCATGGAGGGGAAGTAGGGACACTGACTATGGAAGCTATACATCTTATAGGGACGCAGAGACCAGAGGGCCCTCTAAGGGAGGCTTTGCCCTTACCCAAGGGAGGCTCACCTTTCCGAAGAACCCGCTTCTTTGCTCGAATGTCTGTTTCCAGCTCTGCAGCTCTGATGTAGATCCTGACAGACTGTGGGAGATGGCGGACAGCTTGGGCCACCACAGCCTTGGCTGTGTCCCCCGGCTGCAACCTGGCTGCTTCTAGCCAGACATCTTCACTCTGGGGTAGGAAAAAGAAAAAAAAGCAGTGAGGGCATGTGCAGACTGGGAGCCACAGTGGAGCAGTAGGTACTCGGGGCACATATTCGATCAGTCAGCTTGGCCACACACACCTACACCAGGACTCTCCCTGCAACACCAAGGCATAGAAACATGGCTGCCACATTCTAACGAAAGACATGTGCAACAACACTTCTCAAAAAGAGTATAATTACATTCTGCAGGGTTACCCCACAAAGCAGAGACTGTATCTGATGGAAATTTGTGCCTGATTCTTGGGTAAGTCCCCTTGGATCCTTTTTCACTATCAGTCTGCACAATAAAGTACATGGCACTCAATAGGGCTTCATGAAACCTTTTTTTTTTTTTTTTTTTTAGTTTTAAGTAGACACAATATCTTTATTTTGCATTTATGTGGTGTTGAGGATCAAACTCAGTGCCTCAAGCATGCTAGGCAAGCGCTCTACCCCTGAGCCACAACCCAAACCCCTTTCATAAAACTTTTTAAGCTTGTCTGGTCATTCCACCTTCAAAAATGCAAGCACTGTCCAGGAGTCCACCTGTAATCCCAGCAACTCGGGAGGCTGAGGTAGGAGGAATACAATTTCAAAGCCAGCCTCAGCAACTTATTGAGGCCCTAAGCAACTCAGGGAGACCCTGTCTCTAAACAAAATACAAAAAAGGCTGGGGATGTGGCTCAGTGGTCAAGTGTCCCTGCGTTCAATCACAGAACCAGGGGGAAAAAAAAAAAAAAAACCCAAGCTAGACACGTGGTGGAGCAAGCCTGTAATACCAGCAGCTCAGGAAGCTGAGGCAGAAGGATCACGAGTTCAAAGCCAGTCTCAGCAAAAGCAAGGCACAAGCAACTCAGTGAGACCCTGTCTCTAAAACAAATATATTATAGGCCTGGGGATGTGGCTCAGTGTTCAAGTGCCCGAGTTCAATCACCAGTACCAAAAAAAAGCACTAGCATACTCTAATATTCTCCTAAGCGTTAGCATCGTCCTTAGGTTGTTTACATCATGTGGCACAACAAACTACCCAGTTTCACTCTTACCTGCCATTAAAGGGAAAGGGGATCAGCTTCACTCCATGTAGAAACCAGAGAAGCCAACACCCTCCCCTAAGCTGCCTTACCCTCTGTACTTAAGGAAAAGGACTTGCTAGCTTCAGTCTACTCCTATAGGTATCCTGCATGGTACAGACACATACACAGTCCCTCAGGGGTAGCAATCTTGACGCTGTCCAGGAAAATACCCTACAATGGGCTTCACCTTGGGGCACATCTCTGTTCCCTTCATGATGAGGTTCCGAGCGACTTGTAGCTTCCCAGTCACTTCCTCCAGGCGGGCTGACGCAATCCAGGCTGGCGGGTGATGAGGGTTCGTCTCCCGAACAGACTTGAGGAGCAGTCGTGCCTTCTTGATGTCACTGTTGAGAGCAAAAATGCAGTACTGAGCCACACTGCCAGGGGAGCACCCAAGACCAGGAAGAAAGTGTCTATGTCACAATGTACTAAGCAATCGACTCAGCAATGCAAGCCAACCAAAATTCCCAACAGCACTACTCCAAGCCTGTTTAACGTCCATGCAGATAATTCTGAACATCAAAAACCACTTTCTGGCTCAGCCAAGGCACTGACTTTGAATGATATGTGTAAAACACTTAACACACCCACTCAAATGGAAAATATATACTTTAAAAGGAAAACCAAACTATGTCATTTCTTAGAACATCTATCCCATATTTTGACTGCATATTGTCAAAAAAAAAAACCAAAAAACAAACCTTAAAACATTCTAAGCAACAGGAGTTCCCATCCCAAATGACCAACTCTGCACATCACTCACTTGATATCCCCGCCATGGGTGGGGATCATGGAGTTGAGATCCGTCAGATAGCCTTTAGGGTCCACAACAGTCTGTCCACTCACTGAATCAGACACCTGCAACACAGGACAAGCAAAAAAATCAGCTGGACGCAACCAGGCCCATGCAGAACAAATGCTCATAGGGCCCCTGGAACAAGTCCTACCAAGAGCCCTGACCCAGTGGGGAGTCATGAAAAGAGGAAAATAACATTAATTCAGATGACAATTTGTGATGATGAATTTTTTCTACATGGAAAAGACACATTAAAAATGGCTAGGAGTAAGGCTGGGGCTGTAGCTCAGTGGTAGAGCGCTTGCCTCGCAGGTATGAGGCCCTGGGTTCCACCCTTAGCACCACATAAAAATAAAGATATTAAGGGGCTGGGGATGTGGCTCAAGCGGTAGCACGATTGCGCTCGCCTGGCATGCGTGCGGCCCGGGTACGATCCTCAGCACCACATACAAAGAAAGATGTTGTATCTGCTGAAAACTAAAAAAAAAAAAAAATTAAAATTCTTTCTCTCTCTCTCTTTAAAAAAAAAAAAAAAAAAAAAAAATTTAAAAAAAAAAAAAAAAACCCTGGGATATTTATCTCAAAAAAAAAAAAGAATGGCTGGGAGCAGTGGCACACACCTGTAATCCCAGAGGCTAGGGAGACTGATATAGGAGGATCACAAGTTCAAAGTCAGCCTCAGCAAAAGTGAGGCGCTAAGTAATTCAGTGAAACCCTGTCTCTAAATAAAATACAAAATAGGTTGGGGATGTGGCTCAGTGGTTGAGTGCCCCTGAGTTTAATTCCCAGTACCAAAAAAAAAAAAAAAGAACCAATAAGGAGCGAAACCCAGAAATCAAAAAAGATTGGTGATTGCAAGGTTCGGTTTGGGTTTTAGTACTGGCTTTTAATTTTTTTTTTTTTAAGGGAAGCCCACAACAATGTAGGTATTTCTCTCTCTCTCTTTTTTTTTTTTTGTAAGAGAGAGTGAGAGAATTTTTTTTAATATTTATTTTTTAGTTTTCGGCGGACACAACATCTTTGTTTGTATGTGGTGCTGAGGATCGAACCCGGGCTGCACGCATGCCAGGCGAGCGCGTTACCGCTTGAGCCACATCCCCAGGCCCTGAGCTTTTAATTTTTTAATTTGAGATGGGGTCTTGCTAAGTTGCTTAGGGTCTCACTAAGTTGCTAAGGCTGGCCTTAAACTCACAATCCTCCTGTCTCAGTCTACAGAGGTCACTGGGATTCTCCTGAGCTGCTGGGATTACAGGTATGAACCACCTACCTAGCTTGGAATTTTTTTTGAAGTTTGTGAAATATTCACATGTGATTCTCCAAACACAAATGGAAGATTATACACATCACTCTGAAACTGTTTTTTTTTTTTTTTATTGGTACCAAGGATTGAACCCAAGGGCACTCAACCACTGAGCCACATCTCCAACCCTTTGTATATTTTTAGAGACAGGGTCTCACTAAGTTGCTTAGGGTCTTGCTAAGTTGCAGAAGCTAGCTTTGAAGTTGTGATTCCTCCTGCCTCAGCCTCCCAAGCCATTGGATCACAGGCGTGTGCCACTGCACCCAACTGCAAATGGTTTTCTTTTTTTTTTTAAATCTTTTATGTTTTTAAAGTATTTATTGAGTTGAAGATGAACACACATACTATCTTTATTTTTTTATGTGGTGCTGAGAATCAAACCCAGTGCCTCACACATGTGAGGTAAGCACTTTACCGCTGAGCTACAGCCTCAGCCCCTGAAACTGGTTTTCATATGCATGATTATTTCTCCTAGTTTACTGGGTCTTTTGTTGACTTTACAGTGTTTTCCATTATGCAAAAATTCTGAATTTCACCATAAACAAATCTGAAACATTTCCCTTCGGGGTTTTTAATGTGTGTTTCAGAACCAGAAAGGGGTCCCTACTGCACTAGGTCCAGCACCCAGTAGTCTCTAGAGTGGAGTGCCCATTCACTTTAGAGCTGGGTGGCAATTTAGTGAAATACAGAAAGAAAACATTTAATTTTTAAATAAAAAGAAAAGACAGGTCTGGGGGTGTAGCTCAGTGGTAGAACACTTGCCTAGCATTCACGAGGCCCTGGGTTCCATCCCCAGCACCACAGAAAAAAAGAGAGAAAGACATTAAGCTCTATCAATTGAGACATATTGCTTGTCACAAGCACCCTCATCATCTCAGTTGGCCCTAGGTCCAGAGTGGAAGAGGATGGTAGGCAATGTCACATAGGTCTGGCCCTTTGGATGCGGCCCTGGGTGCACTGTGCTTGCCTGGACTATAGGTACACGCAGTCCTCACCTGAACACAGAATTCTATCTATTTTTGTAACAGAAAAAAGACTCTTTACTTTTTTCTTTTCCTTTTTGGTACTGGGGATTGAACCCAGGGGTGCTCTACCACTGAACTACATCCCTAGCCCTTTTTATTTTGAGACAGGGTCTCACTGTGCCTGGTCTTGTTGGGTTTGTTTGTTTAAATAACATACATTTTTAAATATCTTTTTTAAAAATTTATGTTTTAGTCATAGATGGACACAATACCTTTATTTATTTATTTTTATGTGGTGCTGAGGAGCAAACCCAGTGCCTCAAATATGTGAGGCAAGCACTCTACCACTGAGCCCCAGCCCCAGCTGGGTTTTTAAAACAATCTTAATAGCTTTATAATCAGGTAACAAGATTTTCAAAGTTATCCATAGAAAAACACCCAGGGCCACTCACCTGGCTCAGCCTCATGTCCATCAGGGTGTTCCTTGCTTGGCCAATCTTCCTCATGTCCAGCTCACCTGTGCCTGGCGTCATCAGTCCTGGGGTCATCCCACCTGGGTATGGCGTGTTCAGTCCACCTGGGTATGGCGTGTTCAGACCCCCAAATTGCTGGAAGGTAAAGGATAAAACACTGGTTTGCACTTTCATGTGAACTTCATCTTCCCTGAAATAGTCCCACAGGGGCTCAACAGGCCCAGCTGTGCAGACTCAGCCACAGCACAACTACTGAGCTGCACACACACTCAACCCATTGATCCCACCTGACCTGTCCAGACCCCAGAGCCCCATTTGCCTTCTTTTCAGATGCTCACAGTTTGCCGGGGATCCACAGAAGTATGATTTTCCCCAGTCTGTAAATGCTTTGCAAAGAAACTATCAGGAACAGGGGTCAGCTTCTCATAACGTGGATTCCGTTGGCGTTTGTTTCTTGCATCACCAACTTCTGGGATGCTTAGCCACTCTTCCTCTGTGACCTCTGCCAGCTTCCTCTGGAAACACAGTCCAAAGCATGAATCATCAACAGAAGTTCATGGCTCAGGTAGGGCTACACTCACCTTCTTACAACCTGCAGAGCAGCAGGCCTTAGAGAGGACTTTGATGCAGAAATGGCCTTCTACTACACTTAAGAGAAATCCATTTATTGGATCTGTTCTATGGAATTAAAATATAAATTATTCTATCAAAGCATAGGTACACTGGTGCACACCTATAATCCCAGCAACTCAGGAGGCTGAGGTAAAAAAATCAAAAGTTCCAGGCCAGCCTGGGTAACTTAGGGAGACCCTGCCTCAAAATAAGAAAGGGGCTAGGATGTAGCTTAGTGTTAGTGCACCCCTGGGTTTGATCCCCAATACTGCGAGGCAGTGGGGAGCCCAACAGGCACAGTTTAGAAAACCTTACTTACAGGGCTGGGGTTGTGGCTCAGTGGCAGATACTCAGCACCACACAAAATGAATAATAAAATAAAGGTATTGTTGGGGCTGGGGTTGTAGCTCAGTGGTAGCGTGCTTGCCTAGCATGTGTGATGCACTGGGTTCGATTCTCAGCATCACATACAAATAAATAAAATAAAGGCCCACCAACAACTAAAAATTAAAAAAAAAAAAAAAAGGTATTGTGTCCATCTACAACTAAAAATAATTTTTTTAAAAAGAAAATCTTACATTCAAATGAAGTTAAAATTACACAAAAATAAGTTTACTGTTCCCACCTTTTGCAATAGGTGAAGGAAAGGTGTTTTGTTTTTTAAACATACACATAATTAAATGTACTAAAGTACAAACCTTCTAAGCAATTAAGTAAAGCACAGTTAGTAAAATCTCATCAACTCCACAGCAAAGCAGCCAGGCCCTTTGCTCAGGCTACGTATATCAGAAACACACCAGCCAGGCAAAGCACCTGAAGCCCCAGCACGCAGGAGGCTGAGAGGAGTTAAAGAGATCAGTCTGGGCAACGTAACAAGGAGTTAAAGAGACCAGTCTGGGCAATGTAACAAGACTATTACCAAAAAAGGGGTGGAGGATGTGGTGTGGCTATGGCAGAGAGCTTACCTAGATCAGACATGAGGCCCTGGGTTCAATTCCCAGCACTACAAAAAAAAAAAAAGAAGAAAGAAACAGCATGCCACACCATCTGCTTACTTTGAGATCTGAAAACTGCTGCTGAATTTTAGGGCGTTCCATCCGGTACTTCTCAATTTCTTCTTTCTCCCTTTGCTCTCTATGAAATAAAATATGTACCTGCATTAGAAATATTAGGGACCCATGTCTGTAATCCCAGCAGCTTGGGAGGCTGAGACAGGAGGATCACAAGTTCAAAGCCAACCTCAGCAAAAGCAACTCAGTGAGACCCTGTCTCTAAATAAATAAAATACAAAATAGGGCTTAGGATGCGGCTTAGGGGTTGAACTAAAGATTGAACTCATGCCCCTGAGTTCAATCTCTGGCACCCCACCTCAAAAAAGAAAGAAAGAAACACTGTGTCCATTCCAAAACAAAGCTGGCTAGTTATATACCTAATTAAATCACCAAAAAAGAATACTTTCATACTAAGCTGCTTAGTCAAGTGCATATTAAGGCAACTATGGAAACAGTTATATACATAATAATTCAACTATCTACCAAATGAAAATAGGCAAAAATTTGATAAAATAAAAAGAAGTTATCTTACTTTGATATACAGTTGCTTGAGTTACAATGGAGTTCTGTAGCAATAAACCCATCACAAGCTGAAAATTTCCCAAGTCAAAAATCCATGTAAATGGATGCTTCTCATTCTCAAGATAGCCCGCACTCTCCCTTGAAAGTCTATCTACCTTCCTAAATAAACCTGCCTATGCAAAAAAAAAAAAAAAAAGTGTGTAATACCCCTACTCTACTGAACACATGAGCTTTGCAGAACACACCACAGAGCGCTAGGCATCGTTCCTTAGATTGCATGGATAACCAGGAGCTGCTCAGCATCGCAAGGAAGTATCTTGCCACCTATCGCTAGCTCTAGAAAAGATCAAAATTCAAAGTACAGTTTCTGTTGAATGCATACTGCTTTCATACCATCTGTAATGTTGAAAATCATGAGTCAAACCTTTTTAGAGGGCAACCATCTATAAATTCTTCCATTTGAACACAAGTATATTCACTGCTTTAAAATTCACAAATTCCCTAAGGCCAGCCTATGAATGTTCAACTCAGAAGCAAAACTGAAACACTATGAGAGGTCCCTATATATATAAAGCCTTCAACTTATCTCGCCCCATCTGCCAGGTCAGATGGTTTGTATCACCATCCACGTAACTTTTTCAGGGACACAGGGCTATGGATCATTTAGAACTAAGCTTAGACAAACCAAATCAATCTACCAGGAGTTGATATGAACCAACTAGCTACAACTTTTTAAAATGAGATTTAAATTTTCCTCTATAAAGAAAAAGGAAAACATCCTTTGGTAGGAACATAAATTGGTAGGAATTTATATGTAATCTGATAAATGGACTGAAGGAGCAGGGCATGGTGGCAGAACCCTGTAATCCTGGCTACTCAGGAGGCTAAGGCAGTAGGAATACAAGTTCGAGACCAGCCCAAAAGCTAGTTGCCCTGCCTAGGCAACTTAGTGAGGCCCTATCCCAAAACAAAAATTTTAAAAGGGCTAAGGATGTGGTTCAACAGTAGAGATCTGCCTTGCATGTGTGATGCCCTGGGTTCCATCACCAGTACTGGGGGGAAAAAAAGAGAGAGAAAGAAAGAAAAACAACAAAAAAGGCAAGGGGTGCAGCTTAGTGGCAGAGTGCTTGCCTAGCATGTGCAAACCCCTGGTTTTGATCCCCAGCACCATCAAAAACAAAAAGCAATAGAAAGAGAAAAAAAAAGTATTAATAGTTACTTTCTGGGCTTATAAAGAAACATACTTCATCTCATTTTTCTAATCCTCTATAATGAGAAATTTGGGGGTGTTTGTTTGTTTTTTACCCTTGCACTAGGTATTGAACCCAAGCTAGGCAAACACTCTACCGCTGAGCTACACCCCCAATCCTTTTTAATTTGAGACAAGGTCTCATTAAGTTGCCCAGGCTAGCCCTGAATTTATGATCCTCCTGCCTCAGCCTCCCATGCACCTAGGATTACTGGCATGTACCACCAAACACAGGTAAAACATGTAACTTCCTATTACAATAAATTAGAAACTTGCAAACCAATATAATGCCTTTTTATACATTGTAGCATCTTATGTTTACTTCACTAAGTTCCCCAGAATAAGGACAAAGGATTCAGAAAGCTGCCACATCAATTGGCACACTGAAGTAACATCAACAACAGAGATGCAGAACACCCACCTCAGAGGCCTGCAGAGAAAGTCTCCTCTCCAACAGGTACCAAGGACAGAGCTTGCCTGAGTTGGCACCATAGGAACCTATATCCAAAGCCTGCTTCTCATAGACTTCCTGATGTCTGCCCCTCCCACCAGCCCAACTTGGTTAAATTACTCCCAACCCTATAGCCACATACAACACTGACATGTGGAACAAGTTTTCAAACCACAACTACCATAAAATCTGTATATTAATTTTCAAATTATTTAACATGGATTAATCAACATCACTCTCCATTTCATGGATAACTCTAATGTCTAGTCAAAGTAATACCCCAAATTCTGATTTGAGAGGTATTCAGGCTATAGAGTTCTTAAGTTTCACTGTAGCCCCCAGACCAAGACCCATGCTGCCTTGAAGCTAAGCTGATACATACTAATCCTACAACTCTTCTCTTAGTCTAAAGTCAGTGCAAAACTTATTCTGTCAGATAAAAACAGCATTAATTTACCTTCTTTCTTTTCTTCTTTCATCCATCCTTTTATCCAGAGCTGCATAAATAGCATCTGCTTCCTCATCATCTTTCTCATAGGGCCCACTGGAAAAGAGGCTCCCAGCATAGCCATTAAACTAAGAACCAAACAATACATTAAAAGAGTCAGTGCTCCCTTGAGCATAATCCCACCAACTCAAAGGACTTTCCAGATGTAAATTACTTGCCAACTGCTTTTTATAGGACAATCCCAAATTGAGAGCCAGTCTATAGCCAACTGATCAATACTCTTCAAGTGCCAAGGGCGTGAGAGACAGAGGAGCTGGTCTAGCTGGAAGAGACTAAAAAGACTAAATGTGATGGGGAATCCTGGAACGGGTCCCATGCCAGGAAAAGGACATTTATGGAAACAGCGTACAATTCAAACAAGAGCTGTAGATGAGTGAGCACTATGGGGCCAACATTAATTTCCAGGTCTCAGTAGCTGTATTAAGATAATGGAACATAGACGAAAAGGAGCTTAGTGAAGAGTTTTAGGAACTTTTTTTTTTTTTACTTCTCTTGGTACTATTTTAGCAAGAACCTAAAAGTTTAAAATTATTTCTGCCAAGCACAGTAGTACACTCCTATAATCTCAGTGACACAAGAGGCTAAGGCAGGAGTATCACAAGGTCAAGGCCAGCCTTGGCAACTTAGTAAAACCTTATCTCAAAAAAATAAAAAGGGTTAGGAATGTTGCTTAGTGGTAGAGCACCCCTGGAGAAGGAAGGAAAGAAGGGAAGGAAGGAGGAAAAAAGAAAAAACTGGTTTCAAAGTTAAAGTTCCATAAAAATTATTTTCCTAGGAGCTGGAGCTATGGCTCAGTGGTAGAGTGCTCGCCTAGCATGTGCAAGGCACTGGGTTCAATCCTCAGCACCACATAAAAATAAACAAACAAAATAAAGGTATAAAAAAAAAAAATCACATCCATCTTAAAAAAAAATATTTTCGTAGGAGGAAAGACATCATTTATTAGAAGCCATCTAGAAAAACTCAACTGAACCACGAGCTAAGGGGCAGGCACTGAAGCCAGATCAAGTAAACACCAACACCATCATTAATGACCAGCAGGGCAATGTACCAATAGGACATTCAGACATTTGTAAGTACATCTCTACTGAAAAGATGAAAAAGAGGCTCATGTCTGTTTTTACTGTTCCCTTCTCACACAGTTAAAGAAATCTATGAATCAGAGCACCTCATCATGGAAGCCAGTCAGCCCTTCTGACTGGTGGAAGGCAGCACAGAAGCCCCACAAAAGTCACCTCATCATAGTTGGTGTCATTCAGATCTTCATCATCATCATCAGCAGCCTGGTTTTTCTTCATCTGGTCCCCCACTGTTCTCTTGCCTGGTGGTGCATGGCGATCATCCACAGGATCATTTGCATCCCGGGCCGGCCCAATGTCTGACCGGGTGGTGAAACCAGTGGCACTGCAGGAAGATGCCCATTACCTAGATGGTCCTATAGTAACATCTCTTTTTCTAACACCTCTGAGAATTTCCAAACATTCTGCTGGCAGTAAACCATGCTTTCTAACCATGCTGAGCACCACTGATCTTCTCTGCTTGCCTTATGTTTCCACCCCAACCCCCACCATCACCCCAAGGTTTGTCCCTTTCTCCTCCATGTGAATTACCAGGTCTCAGATCTCACTCCTCCCAAGTCCCAGCCTCACATTTCCAACAGCCTGCTGAGCACCCCCATGCAACTAGGTCAAACCAAGGCCCTCTCTGGACCCTGCAGCTACTCTCAGCTGTCCCTGCTGTTAATAGCAGCAGTGTAGTCCCAGGCATCAAAACATCATCTTAACCTCCCTCTTCAGCCTTCTCCACCCCACCGACCCTCAAGTACTACTGATGCTACCTCCAAATCCCCCCTCCTCAAATTACACCACAACTGGCAAACCAGCTGGCCATACCTACTCCTAATCTTTGTATTGCTCTACCAGATGATTCTTCCCCAAACACAGTTCTGACTGAGGCATTCTTTGGTATCACCGGCTCTCTGAAGCCTACAGGCCTCTTTGACCTCCTACAGCTCCATTTCACTCACTTTGGACTCCTTGCTGTCCCCTGGTTTTCCTTTGATCCTTCCATTTTTAACCCTTTAACTGCCTATACACAAAATGCCAGTTTCTCTTCTAGTCCTGCCACATCTGATACATTCAAATCTACCTTTTTCTAATCTCTGGAATCCCCACGTTCTAAATCTGTTCCTCTTCATACACTTAGTTATATAAGCATCAAACTTCCTCTGATAAACTGCTGGCCCTCTGAAAAATGGTGACACATCTGTGTTCTGTGTGCCCCTGGGGCAGTTTCTGACACCACTACCAAATGAGACCCACTTTTTGCTTCAGATAACCAAGAAGAACTCTAAGAACTGCTTATTTATCCAATAAGTAACGGTGGTCATCTGTGAGGCAGGCATGGGTCACCCAGGCACCAGCCCGCCTGCCCCCAGGAGCTGAGACTGAACAGACAACCTAAAGGGACCAATACTAAATAGAAAAGATCAGTCGTGCTCAAAGCAAGAAAGGGCTAACGTGCTCCTACTTCACATCAGGACCTTATCTACTCCTCAGGGTTGACTTGCATGCCGTCAATACCCACTTTAGACAGCAAAACGAGGGCTCAGGGCCCGGGGTGGTTAAGTCTCAAGTCACAGCTCCTAGTGGCAGGCTAGGCTCACGGCCAGGTCTGCGACCTACACGGATTAAACCAGACGGTCCAGCAGGCTGCAGACTGGCGGCGGACCCTAATTTATTTTCGGTGCATCTTCCGCGTCCTGCGTCCAGGGAGAAACGCGGGCAGCCAGCACGGTCCTCCTCCGGGACCCCCTCCCGCGCCCCACGCCCCGCCCCAGGCCTCACCCCCGGCCCAGCCCCGGCACGTAGCCGAGGGGCGCGGGCATGCCCAGGAACGGCTTCTTCTTCTTGTTCATGGCAGCGGAGGTGCCCGCGGCGGAGCAGAGCAAAAAAGCAGCCTCGGGGCGCGAAACACCGCAGACGTCTCGGTCGCTGCCGCAGGAAGCGTCGCGTCCGTCACGTCACCGGCGCCCCGGAAGCAGAGCGCGCGGCCCCGCCCTCCTGACTCTCGGGCGGAAGTCCATGCCGCAGCGCTTCCGATTGCATTGCGGGGCGCGCCTGCGGCGGGCGCGGGCTCGCGAGAGCCTGCCTGTGGCGCGGTGGCGGCGTGGGCGGCCCCGAGCGATCAGGGACCGCAGACGCTCCGCGTCCTGTGAGTGCAGGGCCGGGGCCGGTCCCTGGGGCCGTCCTGCCCCTCGCAGATCCCGTCGCACCTGTCCTGCTGTGCAGAGCTGGTGGGGAACAGCGGGCGCGCTTCGCGTCCGGATCCTGGGCCCCCCTAGGGCACCGTCCCCTGTGGTCCTGCCCGGCCCGGTGTGGCCTGAACGTCCGCGCTCCTGCAAGGCTGAGGAAAAGAAGTGAATGCACCTCTCCCTGTGTGTAGGCTGGCGTCACAAACGTGTGGACTCCTCTATGCCCTTGCCTTGGATTGATGCACTCCACTCCTCTGCACACATTTTTGCCTATCCAGTGCAATTCTGCCCCTGCTACGAGACGCCAACCCTACCAACACCTGGGAAGAGCACCCAGGCTCTTGGGCACAACAGGCAAAAACTGCTGGTGGCAACCTGGCCTTTTGCTGGACCTGGCAAACACAGTTAGCCCTTCTCAGTGCGGTTCTAGAGCAAACACTTCAGCCCTGACTGTCAGTCCTTGGAGCTCCTCTCTAACCTCCCCAGCCAACCCCATTTTCGGTTATAGAGTTCAGAGCCAGATTCAGAAATTGGTTACACAGGGAAGAGGAGAGCCACAAGGGAGTCTACAGATGTGATTGGGGTAAGGGTCAACCTGGCTTCTCTGGGGAAGCAAGAGCGCATTTGAGGGAGAAACCTCTGAGTGTGCCCCGCTAAAGAAAGTCAGTAGCCTAGGGCGGTAGTGCACCCCTTGTAATTCCAGCTACTCATAGGCAGAAGGAGGATCATCAGTTCCAGGACAACCTGAACCCCTGAACTACCTCCCCAGTCCAAAAACAAAATCCAAGTATTAAAAGGGCTGGGGTGTAATCCAGTGGTAGGGAGCTTGACCCTGATTTTACTCCCTAGTACCGAGGCTGGGCAGCCAATTCACGAGATTGGAGAGCGCGAAGTGTTCGTCTCTCCTTGGCCAGGACCTCCGCGGGTAGAAAACACCAAGAGTAGGTAGGGGGTCCTGAATCCCCCAACACATAGGAGACCCACAGCTCTTCGCTTGCCTGCCTCAGAGGACCTTCAGCAGGTGGTCAGTGCCCAGGTGAGAACGGAAGCCCTTTACCCTGGCCGACACCCTCCGCAAAAACAGCCCGCGCGCCGCCGACACACCTCCGAGCTCCCGGAGCGCGCCCGGCGCACTGGGCTCGGCAGCAGGTGCCTCGCCGCGCAGACTCGCCGGCCACAGGGACCGGCTCGGGCGCGGGGCCGGCGCGGGCGGGGCGGGGTGGGACGGCGACGCGCGTTACCCGCCGGTCACACTGGCCGCCCTGCACTCAGTGAGGGGCGTGTGCGCGGGCCCGGCACCCGCCGGCCCCATGTTCACCGAGCTGAGGTCCAAGCTGAGCCCCCCGCGAGGCCGCGCCGGGGCTGTGCGCGCTGGCTTAGGGGAGCGCCGCGATGTGGACGGTGAGCCCGGGCTGGACTGGGAAGCAGGAATGTCGCGGGGCTGCGGGACATGGGACCAAGTGGCAAGGGGGTGGGGGGCTGGACCCTGCGGGCTTCCAGCATCGGCAACTACGCGGGGGGGGGGGGGGGCGACCTGACCTAACGGGGTGCGGTGGCCTTTGTCCTGCGCCGCGGGGGATTGGTTGGCCAACCTCAGGCCTTCGATATCAGCGCGCCTTTGGCTTGGGGCGGGGGATGACAGGCCAGGGCTTCTGTGTCCATGCTGGAGGCACACTGGGGTCACCCCTTCCTTCCGAATGCATAGAAAACCCTCCCCAGCCCTGGCAGTGGGGTCGACAAGGGGTTGAGATCACAACCTCAGATTTCCTTTTGGAATTGATGTTGGGGCAGGGAGGAACCCATCCTTCTGTACTGCCGGCAGGAAATGGGCGGGGCTCCGCTGGCCGGGCAGGTGCAGTGCCGGCAGAGGCGTTGGACTGGTTCCCCAGAGCTGCTCCTACCCTAGGGCAAAGGCCCTGTGGAAACCTGAGACGACCTGGCCTGCCTCCTGGAAGGTGCAGGTTCAGAATCAATCTTTCCCCATGTACTAGACATCACTTTGGGGCAGTAGCCACACACCCGCTGTCTGACCTTAGACCTCAAATTAAAAGTCACCAAGGGTCCAGTTCAAAATTCCAAAAATGGGGGAGGAAGAAGCTAAGCCTCAGGAGTCTTACCAAGGTTTCAGTAGAATGGGTACACCCATTACTTATATCTCCTTGACACCACCAAACCCTGCCCCAGTGTAGAGGGGATGGCTATCAAGGAAAGAGGATCTCATGCTACACCTTGGGGTGGGCCCTGGGAATCTCATTCTGCCTGCCCACCCAGGGCCTGGATGTGTGCAGAGATTTAGGAGAGCCTGAGCCCACCTTCCTTTCTCCCCTCCCCAAGACACCATTTGCCACATTTATGGAGCCCCTCATGTGCCTTAGGGATCCCACCCCAGGTGGGAGAGGTCCTATCAAGACCAGTCACCCTCCCCAGACTTCTGTCAGCAGTGACCCCAGAGGTGGTTGTAACAGTAAAACATAGGATGTGTCAAAGTTGGTGTGGGAAGAGGGCTGTGCTGACCAGCCATTTCTGGTGAGCACCTGCCAGTCACACTGTTGTCCTGGTTGGGCCCTGTGGAAGCAGCAGAGCAGGAAAACCTGGGAGTCCCAGTTGCCAGCTTTCCCAGTTCAGGCCTTTTTGACCATGAGTCATAGTTGGTGAGCTCAGCCAGGCAGGGGACAAGCCTCAAATGCCAGATATGGCTGTATAAACTGGGTGCCTTCAGTGGCGATGGGCAGGCAGGAACCTTAACCAGACTTCTCCACAGAGTGCCTCCAATGACACAGGAGCCAGGCTTTTTCCTCAAAGATATGTCCTGTGTGTATGCTGGTCTAGTGTGACATGTATGAGGCTTGTGTGCATAAGGTCAAGGTGGTCCTGGGATCGCCCCTCACCTGGTTATAGGTCTCAGGCTCCCTGGGAGGCATGTCCTCCAATATAGCAGAACCCATCCTGACTGTCAGTGTGAGGGCTGCAGGCTTGCAAGGGAAGCGGTATTCTCAGCTCTCCATCTTGGGGCTAGGGAGGAGGATCCTTATTTTGCACATATTCTTCTGCCTTTGGGGACTTGATTTGTCCTCCTTGAGAATTGGCTCCTTCTTTGGTAGAGGGGAAATAGGTTAGGCAAGGAAGTGGCTCTTGGGGAAAGAGCCTTTGGTCCTGCTCCTGACCACTCTGACCAGGCACCCCTGCACACAGCCACTGCTCACTTCAGCTTCTGCCGGACTCTCCTGGAGCACACAGTGTCAGCCGAAAGCATCCCCTGCCACCTGCCTCGGACGCCAGGCACCAGCCTCACATGGCATGATTCCCGTAGCCAGAGGGCTTCCAGCAGCAGGCCAATCAAACTCCTGCAGCAGCCTGGCACAGAGACCCCCCAGGTACCCACCCACCTACCCCACCCACCTCAGTCCCTGCCTTCCCTGCTCTGCCACGCTCCTTCTATCTGCCACCCACTTCCCCTACAGGGCCGGCTGTACTCTGACCACTATGGCCTGTACCACACAAGCCCCTCGCTGAGTGGCCTGACGCGGCCTGTGGTCCTCTGGAGCCAGCAGGACGTCTGCAAGTGGCTTAAGAAACACTGTCCCCACAACTACCTCGTCTACGTCGAGGCCTTCTCCCATCATGCCATCACTGGTACGGTGGAGTCTGGACAGGACAGGAGATGGATGCCCAAAGAGCCTCCTTCCCTACCAAGTGCCTACAGTCTGCAGTTGTTTCTCCACCTATCGGTGCTCCTCTGAGGCAACCTTCCCTGGGGTCCTCGGAGTCTCTGTACCTGCACTGTCTTCTGGCATCTTCCACTTGGCCTCCATCTGCTGCTTATCATGATTCTCTCTCTGCCTCTCCCTCTAATTCTATCTGAATCTTTCTCTGAGACTCCCTGTGCCCTTTCTTTCTTTCTTTTCCTTTCATTCTGTGTCTGTGTGTGTCTTTGTCTTTGGTACTGGGAATTGAGCCCTAAAATGCCCTACCACTGAGCTACATCCCAGCCCTTTTTATTTTTTATTGTGAGACAAAGTCTGGCTAAGTTATCCCAGCTGACCAGGAACTTGTGATCTGCCTCAGCCTCTGATAGCCTCTGTTGGACCCTCTTCCCTCCCCCAGGCCGAGCTCTTCTGCGGCTAAATGCAGAGAAGCTACAGAGGATGGGGCTGGTGCAGGAGGCCCAGAGGCAAGAGGTGCTGCAACAGGTGCTCCGCCTGCAGGTGCGAGAGGAGGGTCGGAGCCTGCAGCTGCTCAGCCAAGGTCAGTGGGAGGAGCCAGCATGGGGGGGCACTGAGAGTTCAGGTAAGTGGCTTGACTGCAGGAGGGTGCTTGGGAGCCCTAGTAAGGGCCATCCTGGGATGTGGCAGGGACCTGCCTCTCCCTTACTTCCATGCATCCTACAGCTTCCTTTGGAAATATATCCTAGCTGCTGCCAAGGCTTGAACCAGACCCCAGCACTGTGACCAGAGCCTACGGCCAAGGATGAGGACAAGCTGGCCCCACAGACCCTCTCGAACCCCACAGGATACCATGGTGGCCAAGTCCAGCCTAGTGGACAGATCTCCACCTTCAAGCACCTGTGGTTGGGCAGCCAGGCCATGGCCTGGGCTGCTTATCTGTGACCCCTCCTCCTGGGACATGAGCCCACTCCCTGGCACTGCTGGCAACATGTGGGGCAGCTGCCTGGAGCCAGAGTGGGGTTCAAATGACCCCAAGACTCCCAGGGAGTCTTTTATTTATGTTCCCTTTACTGTGTGACTGTCCCCCTTTGCCTGAGTCATGCATCTCTGCTCACTTGTCCAGTTCCATATCCTCACAGCATTGCCAGGCCAGCCACACTGTGGGACAAACTGCCTTGGCTCCCTTTGACTTGTGTTTCTCCCTGCCCCTGCCAGAACCCAGCAGGCAACCTATGTCCAGAGTAACAGTCATCAGCATGGCCAGGCAGGGACCCATGCAGAGCACCTCGCTAATTCTATCGCCACCCTGGCCAAACCTGTATCTATTTATGAGCACTGAGTCTGAGAGGCCCTGGTTGCCTCAGCCCCAAAGACAGAGCACAGAACAGTGAGGACAGCAGCCCTGTGCAAGCAACTCCTCGCCCTGAGCCTGCTGGAGTCAGTGTGCTCTGGGCCCACTTTTGGGAAAGTCTGGTATTAAGCATCGCCTCTGTGTATTTGCACTTAAGAGAACATCTTCAAGAAACCATCGCACTTGCTGCTTTCCCAAGGAAACCTGGATTCATAGGAGAGACTGTCCTGAGGGCTGTGCTCCACCTCTGCTGCCAGACGCCTAAGCAACCCTTCCCTGGGTAGTCTGGGGCTGGTGCTGCCCGGCAGAGGGACAGTGAGAGCAGCCCACAACCTCTTGCTCCTCTGCCCCTTCCCACAACCACGGGGACTCTGAAAATCTCAGGGACAGTTGAGGCTAAGCCTCCAGTCCTCTCTCTGTGACCTGAGCTGGCCTCAGGACTCAGGATTGGTCACTGCAGGTCCTGAGTGAATTTGGGCAACTGGCCTGGTGCCTCCCATCCCATGTGTCTGCACCCACAGGGAGCCTCCTTGTCATGTCTGGCTGCCCTGAGTATCCCCCCAAACCTTGTGCTATCAGTCTTCAGCCAGAAGGCCCATCTCTGCCTTTTCCCCTCCTGTCTTGCCCACCCTGTGCTCCTGTATTGTCTTCCTTGTTTTTCATTCACTTTTTTTATATTCTAACAAAAAATCAGAAATAAACCTGTTCTCAAGTGCCAACAGTACTAGGTCTGGGAGGAAGGGGTGTCCAGCCCAACAGCCTGGCTCTGGTACCACCAGGGGGCAGTGGTATCCCTTCCTGGAGGGGCTGCTGGTCAACCCCAGGGCACCTGGGACAAGAGGCATCAGGTAGGCACTCTTGATGAATGGCACCCAGTGATGGACACAAGGCTCCTGACATGCTCAGAGCAACAGCCCAGATATGTGGTGTGTGAGGTTCCTGTAACAAAGAAGCATCCACTGGGTGAATTCAAAAAGAAAACTTTGATTCAGAGTCTAGGGGTTACACAGTGGTAGAGTGTGTGCTTAGCATGCTCAAGGCCTTGTGTTGGATCAGAAGGGAGAAAGGGATTCAGTTCTGAAGACTAAATCATATTCCCTTTGTGAGTGCAGAAGGGCACCTTTCCTTGCTCTTCCAGCCTCTGGTTGCTATCTGGGATTATAGGAATCAAGGACACACCACTCCCATCTGTTTCTGTGGTCATATCACCTTTCTTCTGTCTCTGAAATCTCCCTGTCTCCTTCTTGTAAGGATGATTGGATTGGGGCCCAGCTGGGTAACCCAGGTTGACTTCATCTCAGGATCCTTACTCATATCCATAAAGACCCATATTCCAAATAAGGAATGTTCACTCACACATTCAACACTCTGACACGATCATCTGTAGGGACTCACCACCCAACCCTCTACACAGGGCAGTACCCTGACAAGCAGCACATATACTGTGGCACCCACTCATCAACCAGATACATAGCAGGAACAGGAACACAGATGTAACCCACAAATGCAATGACATAGCCAGACATGCACTGTGTGCTCCAACACACAAACACACTGTGTATTTGGCCAGACACAGTGAAATGCACAGAGATATTTAACAACACCCCCACATACATACAATTACCCAAACATACAAGTACTCTTGCATAACAATGACCCCCTAACATACAGAAACAAGAGAGCACAGCCCCAATACAAACCAAATTATATAACACCCCAACATCTAGATACACATGAAAAACTGTTGGTCCTCACATCCTGCATGCAGGTACTCACACATGAACATGCCACAGCCTGGACAACATGCTAAGATTCAGATACATACCTACCATGCATCTGACATCAAGGTGCCTGGATACTGAAACTGACACTCAGATATAGCACTGATCTTGCCTGGCACAGAACTCACAGATATGCCATGACAGTGATTTTCAAGATGGATGCTTCCTGACACATTTGATCACTTGGACACACCTGTGAACGCTGACACATCCCATTTGTACAGGGGAGCTGACAGCCTTGTACACACCTCAAGAAACACACACTGACCCCTCCCAGCATCCTGCCCCTAGGGTGTGGATGCTCAAGGAGGGCTTTGAGCAACTCTTTCCTTTTCCTCCTATGGTAACTTGGGCTGGGGCAGCACCCTGGTCTCTCTGGCTCAGATTTCCAAGGGGAGGACTGACTGGCTGACCTTTTCACATAGGGCTCAGCACTTTGCCTCTGCCTCCAAACCAGTGTTCTGTGCAGGTCTCAGGCAAAGCAGATATCAAGGTCCCTTGAAAAGAGGTGGACATCAAATCTGCTGACAGCTCCTCTGCCCTGCCCCAGAGCAGTGCAGGACAGCCTGCTCCAGGGGGAGCAGGGCAGAGGGTGCTGGGCAAAAAGGAGGCCCCAGGGAAGGAGATCTATCTTGTAACTCTGTACCCCAACTAACAATTTCCAGCCCACACTAGTTTTGTGGAATTCAAAATGCTTGTGGAATGTAAAAAGGGGGCATTAAAAACTTTTAGAAGTCGGCTTTAATTGTAAAAGTAATATATGCACATGATTAAAAATATTTCAATAGTACTGAGACCCAAAATTAAAACCCAGTCTCCTCTCTGGGGAGTTTCCTCCCCGGGAGAAGGGTGATGTGAGCAGAAGACAGAGATACTCCATTCTCTTAGAGGAGACTAGTGTCTCTTGCCTGCCTCCTGTGGGGGCTCCTGTCAACTCTACCTCCCCACCAGCTCCCACAGGGAGATTCACTCCTCGGCCAGCTTCATTCATTCATTCATTCCCCATCACCCCTGACTTGACATCAGCAGAAACCTAGGCTCCGGGGAAAGCTGGGCGCTGGCTGCTGGCCTAGGACCATCACGCACAGCGCTGGAAAGGTTGATCCAATGGTCAGATACCCCAATAAAGCTACATGGCCCTGACGGAGGTCACAGGGCCAGCTGGAGAGAGGCCCGATCTTGCCCGCCAGCCGGGGGGAAGGGGTGGAGGAGGTCAGGGTCCTGCACACCTAGGCTTCTCTGCACTCCCCCGCCGCACCTGCCGGACTAGTCCGTGCGCCCCCGAACGTGCCTCAGTTTATCCCACTGTCCACAGACGCCTCCCGTCCTGCGGACGGCACGTCGGCCACTCGGCCCCGGCCCGGCCCACCGCCGCGAGGGCCCCGAGCCCGATCTAGCAGGCGGGTCGGTGGGCCCCCTCCCCGTCGCGGAGCGCGGCAGGAATACCGCGAGAGTTCGCCCCCTCCCCCCGCAGTAAAACTGTCAAAGGTGGGAGGGGCGGGAGCGCGCATGTGCGCAGCGGCGCGCAGCCTGCGCTGCCCGGACCCGCGCCCGCGCCCCGGCCCGGCCCGGCCGCAGCCCGCTGGGCGCCGCAGGTAAGC